AGTAACCAACTAGAATTATACATCGAAAGATCAAGTAACATCCCTTTAAAATCCCTTCCCAGGACCTAACTTTAAGCTCAAACAAAGGCAGACAGCATGTGGAATTCCGAACCAACACATCGCCAGCACCACCATCAGCACCAGCATAATGGCAACTCTACCTCGGGCGGACCGCCCGCCAAGCAGCTGGGCATGACCTCGGCCATCAGCCTGGCAGAACCACGGCCAGAGGATCTGCAGCGGACCGATGAGCTACGCGGCTCCCTGGAGCCGTACAACGTCTTCGAGAGCCAGGACGAGCTGAACCACCGCATGGAGATCCTGGCCAAGCTCAACACACTGGTCAAGCAGTGGGTTAAGGAGATCTCCGTCAGCAAGAACATGCCAGAGTCAGCCGCCGAGAAGCTGGGCGGCAAAATCTACACATTCGGCTCGTACCGACTGGGTGTCCATCACAAGGGCGCCGATATTGACGCCCTCTGTGTGGCTCCGCGCAACATCGAGCGCACAGACTACTTTCAGAGCTTCTTCGAGGTGCTCAAGAAGCAGCCGGAGGTCACCGAGTGCCGCTCTGTGGAGGAGGCCTTTGTGCCGGTCATAAAAATGAACTTCGACGGCATCGAGATCGATTTGCTGTTCGCACGTCTGTCCCTAAAAGAAATACCCGATGACTTTGATCTGCGGGATGATAACTTGTTGCGGAATCTGGACCACCGCTCGGTGCGCAGTCTGAACGGCTGCCGAGTTACGGACGAGATTCTAGCTCTGGTGCCCAACATTGAAAATTTCCGCCTGGCCCTGCGCACCATAAAATTGTGGGCAAAGAGTAAGTATTAAAGAATTCAGTTCTCTTTAAGGAATTACGACTTATTATCTTGTTTTCCCCCTTTAGAGCACGGCATATACTCAAATTCTTTGGGTTATTTCGGCGGTGTGACTTGGGCCATGCTGGTGGCCAGGACTTGCCAACTTTATCCGAACGCCGCAGCTGCTACGCTGGTGCACAAGTTTTTCTTGGTCTTTTCGCGCTGGAAGTGGCCTAACCCAGTGCTACTGAAGCACCCCGACAACGTTAATCTGAGATTTCAAGTGAGTCAGATACAATTGTACAAGCTTTCCAGATTAACTAATCTTATTTCCCTTTTCTAGGTCTGGGATCCGCGTGTCAATGCCTCTGATCGCTATCACCTGATGCCCATTATTACGCCCGCGTACCCACAACAGAATTCCACATTCAATGTGTCCGAATCCACCAAGAAGGTCATATTGACCGAGTTCAACCGCGGCATGAATATCACGGATGAGATCATGCTCGGCCGCATTCCGTGGGAACGTTTGTTTGAGGCGCCCAGCTTCTTCTATAGATATCGCCACTTTATAGTCCTGTTGGTCAACTCGCAGACGGCCGACGATCACCTGGAGTGGTGTGGTCTGGTGGAATCAAAGGTGCGTCTGCTGATAGGTAACCTTGAGCGGAATCCCCACATTGCTCTGGCCCACGTCAATCCCAAGTGTTTTGAGTTTAAGAAGGGCCAAAGTGCCAACAACTCGCAGAACAACAGTGGAAATGAAGACGATCTAAAGCAGTCGCAGGGCAGCCAATCTGCGGTGACATCGGCACCCTTCTGCTCTATGTGGTTTATCGGTTTGGAGTTTGAACGTTCGGAGAACCTCAACGTAGACCTCACCGAGAGTATACAGAACTTTACGGAGCACGTAATGATGCATGGCGTAAGTAGATAAACAAAAACCGAAATTTTACAAAGTATGTTATTAATTTATTACATTTGCAGGTAAACATCAAAATGCTCAAAGAGGGCATGACCATTGATGCTCGCCATGTGAAGCGCAAGCAGTTGTCGCTCTATTTAGACTCGGACTTCCTCAAGCGCGAGCGCAAGTCCATGGAGAGTCACAATAATTTTAATAATGCGCTATTGGCCAACCGCAAGCGACTGTCCACGGAACTGGCACAATCGCAAGACCCACTGCCGCCAGGTCAACAGCAATCGAGTGGAAATCGCGGACGGGATAGCGGGGCGAAGATTCACAGGCTCAGCGAATCGGTAAGTGCCTATAGATATTCAATTTCGAATTTCCAGTAATATGAACTATTTCTTGTTTAGCTGACAGAGGATAACTCGAATGCCTCTAGCGATATGGGGGCAGGAACGCCTACTACGCCCACAGCCGCGCAAATGAGTGCGCCGAGCTTCAAGAGCTCGGGCAAAAACGGTTCCGAAATGGACGTAGTGGAGCAGGAGCCGTCGCAGCCGCACAACAACGGCAGCAACAATGGCAGCGCCAACAGCAACACAACCACAACGGAGGTGGCATGTTCGTGACAACCGCCAACGCTACATCCACATCCGCCGCATCAGCAGCCACCGCCCCCGCCGCCACAGCCCCCTGCCCATCATCATCATCATCAGAAGTTCCGGAAGAACAACAATGCGGCTGCGGCGGCTGCCTCCAACAGCATTTTCAACCAGCGCTCTATTCTGCATGCCGCTTCCAGTCTATCGGCTGCTCTAAGCATAACCGGACACAAGCGCAAGCAGCAGACGGCAACATCAACAACCACGATCAGTAGCATTGCTCATAGCAACTACAACCACCACAGCAACAATAGCAACAACAACGGCGGCGGAGGCGGCAGCGGTCACTACAACAAAACGTACTACATTGATGATGATGATGAGGACAACAACCAACAACATTTGACACCTAGCAACCAACCACAACAGCAACAAAAAGCGGTCAGAGTAGCAGCAACATCGACGACACCAGCAACATCAGTCCCTGTAGCTGCAAGTGCCGCACCACCGGCACCGACAATTTCTTGTAAGTTGCCTAAATGTTTTTCCTTGTTCTCGTACTCTCATCCATTTTCTCCAACTTCCTTTGACACGAGACTGTTTCTCTATTCTTAAGTTGCCTATCTACTTACTATTACGTATTCTATAACCAGTATTTCCGCCAATGTGGAAACAATCTAACAAAAAATTACTTTTAATTTAAACATTTTTAAAATCCAATTTACAAAGCCGGAGACTAAGCTCTATAAATGATGATGAAAATAAACTTTTAAAAAAAGAAAAACAAAAAAAAACAAAACTGAACATTTTTGGTATTTTTATTTTCCAAATTATTTACAGTAAAATTTGTTTTGGGCAAATGATTACAGGTTTATGAATCTGCAAGGATTCTTTGATGAAGCCTTGATTGGTACGTTGCCAAAGAAGCAATTTCATAAATAAATCAAAATAAAAACGTTTACACTTTTGTTATTTTTCTTTTGGTTCAAAGGATTGAGAATTCTTAGACTTTCTTGGTTGCATCTATTAATTAGGGCATTTTTATTTATTTAAATGGCCTTGGTTATTACCAATGGTTGTTACTTATCCAGATATTAGATGAAGTCTAAGGATCATTTTAAAAGGTTAAAATCGGAGTTTTAATGTTTCGGTGTCATAATTTGGTGGGGATATTAGTTAATTAAAGAAATACTTTCTCCTCAAATGCGGAGTTACAGTTAAATTCGAAAGCTATCATTTCTTGAGACATCCATCTTATTTTTAAAATTATAGTTTAAAATTAATATTTTAGATTCTGCAATTTTTCTATGCCATTTCTGTTATTCTATTATCATGACCTCTTTTTCTTTCTTCGTTAATATATGGGAAACACGAAAGGATCAGCAAACTACTTAGATTTACAAAGTATTTTCTGTGAAATACTGATCGAAAAATTTAAATTGAAATTCTGGTTGAAAATTGTTTGGTCCATTACGTATCACCTATCCAAAAACATGATAGTCCTATTTTTATTTCAACTGATAAATTATTATTTCGTTATAGTTTATTAAAAATGTTATCAACAATTAATATACATGTAACTAACCATTTTAAACCTTTTTTTATATCTTTGCAGTGTAAAAAGCTATTAAACATACCATTTAAGGATTAGTTATCATAGTTATTTTCTCCCCAATGATTTTCTCGGCATTGATGCCCAAACAAATATGAAGCCCACAATATTTTATACAAAACGGTGAGTGGGCCGCTTAACTTTTGACCACTATCGTAACTAATTTGGCTGTATATCCATTGCAGGTTTCTATCATACACCTTCTGCAAAGTTATGTTAAACATTATTATTTCAACATACTAACATTGGCCAATCGTCAAGTTAAAATTGGCATTAGGAGATCAACAATCGCCGCTAAGACAAGAAAACATCAAAGACTTGCTCGACCTAATAGCGGCAGAGAAAGCATTTCTCTAACATATGTCTTAATAATATTGTTGTACATCTTTTTTACTTCCCCACAGCTGGTTTGAGGAGTGCGTAGAAGAGAGATGTGTGGAGAGGATGAGGAGGAAGATGGATGGGTGAAAGCGGCGGACAGACAAGATCCTGGAGAAATCTGCTGCGAAAACTACTTACAAATTAAGAAGATTTCTTTATAATTTTTCATCTTCTTGTTTTCAATATTTGTTTTCTTCTTCTTCTAGTTGTACAACGCTGAAAATTTGAAACAATTATGTTCGTTTTTCTAAGAAATGATATCTGAAAAAAGGTAATAACAAAAACATATAAATGAAATGAAGATATTGATTTAATTTTACCAAATAAACCAGAAAAAACAAAGCGAAAGCTAAAAACAACAAAGTATTTGTGTTTTATTTCAATGTACTGGGAACCGGGAATGGGATTGAAAACAAATGCTCCAGGAAATCAATAGATGTAGTTATAAATTGCATAATAGAAATCAAAACTGGTAACCTATTTTATTATAGCAATGAAAAAGTATACTAGACATATAGAAAAATCTGTTTTTAATAAGCAAAAGAAGATTTGTAGCCGAATCACAGTTCTATGTTGACCTGAAGTTAAACGTGAATACAATTTTTTTTAAACGATCCAATGAAAAATGGGTGTGATTATATTGTAGTTAAAAAGTAATAACATTTTATCTCTGGAACCAGGAATCCAAGATACATTTATATTTGCAACACTTCTAGTTAAACTCGAATTTTTACAGTATGCGCCTTAAAAAAGTATTAAATAATTTGAATTTACATTTTAATGAAGGGAAAGATCGTAGATATAATAATCATTCCTTGTGTTGTCCCAATAATTTCCTGGATTTCACATGAAGGATATATCATGATCAATGTCTAACTGAAATTTGAACAGAATTGTTGCGTCCAAGAGGTACAGTATTGGGAGATTAGTTTGTTGCAAGTTGGTGTCGTGGATACTTGGGGATGAAGTACTCCATGCGCTGGTTTCGCCGTATAGCGCACTCCTGGTACTGCAACCAGTCACTAAAAGACGTCTTGTGACACTGCTCCGAATCGCCCCTTTCGTATAGCTGCTGACGCAGAGCGAAAAAGAATGGGCGGACTTTCTTCTTCCTGCTGTAGACATAGCGCATCAGCCATTTCTCGATCTTAATATCGTTGTAGATGGTCGATCTGTTCAAGCAGACGGTGGTCAGGTTCTCAACACTGGGATAGTAGTTCTGAATCGGATTCGGATTAACCGACATACGTGCCCTCTGACCACTTCCCGGACCGAAGCGGGTGTCCAAGAATTGATGTCCAAAGGTGATTCCCCAAGGATTGTATACCTTTTCCCCATATTGATTGGTATAGAACTTTTGAATGCTGACAGTCAGCTCCTTGCCTGTTTCATTTCCTGCTCCTCCACCACCGGCTTCTTCAGCTCCTTCTCCTCCTCCTGAACCTTCCCCTTCCGCCCCTGCCTCAGTCACTCCTTCCCCATCCTCACCTCCGGCTTCTTCATCTTGTGGATCAGCATAGAGTCGTATGCCACTTTTGGGTGATTTCTTGGGGACAATAGTGGTTCGTTTAGTCACAGCAATGGGCAGTGGGGCATGAGTTACATCGTAGCCAGTTCTTCGGTGATAGTCGTCTTGTGGTTTCTTTCCGAAAACTCTAAAGCCATCGGATTTATGCTGCATTTGGGTATTGAAAACATCAACATCGGACTGATTTTGATTGATCTGCCTCGGAGCTCTCTCCGCCGGAAGATCCTCCGCCATGGCGATCAGAAGTGACTCCGGATCGGGTAGAGCCAGTGGCAAGCCAACGAGTCCTTGCACCCATAAAATCTATATGAACATAATACACACACATAAGGACAATTTTGAAGAATAAAGTTGCGTTAAACACTCACGATTATAGATGTTATCGCTAGGAGGACCCCTTGGAGTACTCCATAGCTATGGCTATGCATTGTGTTCCGCGCTCTTTCCTTTGCTCAGTATTATTACTTTTGTGTTACTTCCCTTATTTATATAGTGTGATTGTACCTTACGAATGTAGAAAATAAGTGTTTCCAATAAAGAGTGTACATTGACTTCAATAACACAGGAACTTAGATTCCCAAAAACTAACCAGAAATCAAGGCCTCCTGACAAACCAAAACTAATTTTATTTAAAATAATTTTATTATTGTAAAAATTTAACAAATACCTTACGTGTAATGTAGTACTTAAAGGTAAAAGTAAATAGTGGTTATAATATCCAGCACCAGAAAACCTCATAAAATGTCCTAGCCTTATCTCTTGAAATGAATTTAAAATTGTTTATATACAGTAAAATGGAACAGAAAAATAAAGCAAAGGGTAGATAGAGAATTGTAATGAACTGATAAAATGTTATCCCCATTAGTTCCGAATTCTAATATTATTAAACAAGTTTTTCCGCTGGTGATCGGTTGTACGGTGGGTATTAAAATAAAATATAGTCATAACCAAAGGAATTCACGTTACGAATTTATAAGACTGTAAAGTATACATTAAATCCGATTCCTATTTATAAATAAAATAGGTAGTCGGAGGTTTCTTGTGATTAACACTCTTTAAACCTACACGGATTTAAATTTAAATTTAAAAAACTTTAATATAATTCAGAACAAAAAGTTATTAGTTGAAATGTATGGTTAATTTATGATGTATTCAAGAAATGTAAGTGATTTCAATACCAGGGAAGAAATAGACAAAGTCCTCGACAAGAGTATAATATAATTTGGTTAACTACAATTTCACAGGTGGTTGTCTCAAGAGCGACCAACATCAAGGATGATCCTATCCTATAGTAAGTACAGTCACCACAAGAACAGCTTAAGGTAGTGAAAACTTCTTGACTGATCCTGCGTGATACCTACATTTCGTGGGACGACACGGGGAACATACTTCGCGCTAACTACCCAAACTAACCCGACGGTGATTTTCGATCCCAAGTCCTTGTGGGTCGTGGGCCTAAACTAATTGCAATTCTGCGAAAATTATGCGCGACACAGCTGCGCGTTTTTCCCCGAAGCCGAGTAGCATTAATCCGTTTATGGCCATGGATTAAGTTGCAAAATATTCACGAAGGTCGCCGCGATCCGGGACGCGAATTCGCGGAACCATCTCGACCCCTGCAGGTAAACTCACCCGCCACCCACAGGTAAGGGATTACAGCCCAAGAAAATGGGTATAAAAGATCAAGCCGCCGGCAGAAAGATCATCAGTTACCAAAGCATCTTCAGAGTGTGACGATCCAGCAGTGAAATAAAGTAAATCAGCTCGGGACAGCAATTATACGACAAACCTTGTTCGGTTTTGCCAATTTCCTAGCAGCACTGGGTAAAGTTTGTCCTATAATCTCGAAAAGACAACCAGCAAAGTGTGAACCAACCGAAGGTCTCGATCTTGGGATGCATCTTGTGCAGTTATGATTCTATCTCTCATCACTGGGCAAAGTGTGTCTCAAGATCCTGGCCACAACATCGTTACTTAAACCGATTAAGAAATGCAAAAGTAAGTGATATAAGGCATTCCAGTTTTAAAATTGAATGGCGAATGTCGGTATGGTCTCTTTTTCAAACGGCAACGATCAAGCGAAGTGACTAGACCGAACACTCGTGCTATAATTTTAAAATATTCAACATGCAAAGTGAAGTTAAAGGTGGAATTAGGCAATCTAACTGGGTTGCAATTAGTTTCTTTGGTCGTCCAGCCTTAGGTGACTCTTCTGATCATAAAGCTAGACAACCATTGAAGTTCGTTGTGGCATTTGCAGCACTACAAGCCAATAAATCAAGTTGAGTGATCCCAACATATCTCGGGCCATTCGCCAAAAGGAACGATCGTTGTGATATGCGTTGTTCCGTTACATATCACAGTGATTTTCCTTTATAGCGCATGTCTAAAGCCCAAAACTCGTCAAGGGAAATACTATCCAAAATTACATATATAATCCTGAAAAACAGCCTTTAAAGTAGAGGGAATAGTTGCTGTGCTGTAAGTTAACAAGCTATATCTATATCACAGTGGCTGTTCTTTTTGTACCTAAAGTGCCTAACATCAGAGGTTTTGTTCTTCCTGACAAATAACCATTCCGTTTTCAACCCCAGGGAACTTCTGCTGCTGATATATTATCTAAAGCTCCTATATCACAGTGGCTGTTCTTTTTGGTTGCACGGCCAATTCCAACGATTTGTCATCTGCGGCATGTATTTGTGTCAACTCAATGCGAAAATTGAAAATTGTTCAAAAAGAAGGGAACGGTTGCTGATGATGTAGTTCGAAACTCTCACAATTTATATCACAGTGGCTGTTCTTTTTTGTTTGCCAATCGATCTACGTTTAGTGGTTTTCCAGGACATGAAATAGAAAATATTCTCTTACAGCATACTCCTGGTTGTGGCAAAATTCTTCGAGCTTCAAACTTTGGAAAAAGACTGATGTGAAGGTGGTTTCATGTCGTGTGAATCAATTCGTCATCTGTGTGAACTTTTGTCAATAAATAATGCTCACCTTACAATGAACTCATTGCTTTTCCTAAACATTTTTTTGGGGTGGTGGAACTATTCATACAAAATATTTTATAACTTATTTAATATGCCTTAAAATGAAAAGAAGTAGCTAAGCAATACAAAAAATGTTTAATTAAGAGTAAACGAAAGAAGTTTCAAATTTGTTATCTTATACAGTTAAATAATATAATATTTTCTTTAACTTATCAGAAACTTAAGTAACTGTAACTAAATCAATTGTAACTCTAGCCCATTTCTATTACTTAAATCAACTTAAAGTTGTCTTGAGCATTTAATGATATCAATTTCAATTTAAACAATCGGTAACTGTCGCCTCGTGCGATTTAAATTAATTGTGATATGTGGCTAAAAACATGAGCCAGGAAGTGCCATGGTAATGTGGAACTTTCGAAACTTTCTCTCCTGCATCTGCCTGCTATGCGACCCTTTCCAGGTGAAGGAGCACCTGACTCGCATTTGGAATTTCACGCGTGTGCGGAATGACCAAAAGTTGGCCAAAACCAACTCTTTGCTCGAGGCGTGGCCAGTTTGCTGCTGGCCAAATGCAAAACAAGCAAACTGTGAAATCCCATTTTGCATTGACAGCGTCCATGGCGTACCCATGCCATAATGTTCGCAATGGCTGCCAATGGCCAGCAGCCATTGTTGCATTGTGGCCAAGGACGGTGCTGTCTATGCCACTGTTTCTGTTTCTGACTTTGGCCACCGGCTTCAGGTGGGCTGCTAAATCCTCCTTCTCGACCGGAAGTGGGGAAACGCAAAAGGAAGAGGAAACCGAGTGGCGGAAATGCGATTAAAATGTTCCATACAGTCAATGCAAGCTTCCGCTATGAGGAAAACAAAGAATAATGTTCTTGAAATTAATTCTCTAAACAAAGAGACAATGTATCTAGTTTCCAACACAATTTTAAAATCTATTTTTGTTTAATTTAGCTGGAAATTTAATGATTGCGTTTAAAATTCCAAGTCAAGTAAGATAATAAACTCTTCATTAAGACCATAAGACACTTAGTTATGTTGAAATATCTTTACATCCAGGAATTACATTAAAAATTAATATTAAAAACATAAGATTTTGTTTAATTATACATAGTTTAAAAGGAAGAGGAAACCGAGTGGCGGAAATGCGATTAAAATGTTCCATACAGTCAGTGAAAGCTTCCGCTATGAGGAAAACATAGAATAATGTTCTTGAAATTAATTCTCTAAACAAAGAGAAAATGTACCTAGTTTCCAACACAATTTTAAAATCTATTTTTGTTTAATTTAGCTGGAAATTTAATGATTGCGTTTAAAATTCCAAGTTAAGTAAAATAATAAACTCTTGATTTTAAAGCCATAAGACACTTATTTATGTTGAAATATCCTTACTTCACAAGATTTTGTTTAATTATACAAAGTTTACAAAACCTTTTTAGCAATTTTTAATTAATTAATTTTTCGCATTATCCAGTACTCCAATATTTAAATAATAAAAATAATATTTTTTGAATTAAAATTTTCTTGGATCATATATAAATTTGTAAATCTTTAGAGGTTTATTTGATTTCTGCCAAGAGGTGGAAGAATAAATCATATCAACTAAGAGGAAAACAAATTTATTTCTCTTATGAAGAGTTTAGGATACAACTTTAATGAAAATTCCTACTCTTTCTTCGCATTGAGACGATACAGGTAATTTTCCACGCGAATCTTTTGGCGCAACACCTTTCGCGATTCGCGCTCAATGGTGGCCGTGGTGCCATCGTGGTTATGGAAAAATCCGCAGTAGCGGGCGGGTACAAACTGTTTGATCTTCTGCTGCCGGCTATACCTCTCGGTAACCTGCAGGTTGCACTTTTTGATCGCTGCCACCTCGGCGTGCATGCAATTTCGACACATGTCCGCATCGCTGCCAAAGTTGTGGAAATAGTCACCCACCGGCTTTTCACCGCACACCGAGCACTTGGCGTTGTTTTGGGGACTGCAGAATACCGCCACCGCTGGCCAGATGATGCGTCTGCATCCGAACGCTGTCTCCACATCCCATTCCGGGTATTTCAGGTGGTGCGTGTAGGTGGAGGGCCTGGAAAATTATTTTTAAATTATTACTTTAAATTTAAACCTAAGGCTTGCTTGAAAACCCTATTTCTTAATAAAATATTAAAGCGGTTTTAAAATATTTACCCGGGTGTTACCCATTTCTGTTCGCGCACAACCTGCTTGTTAAAAGTGAAATAGTACTGAGTTCCCGGAAAGTCGGTGGCGTAGGATCCAATAGGTGGATACCCGAGCTCTCGATAGGGCGGTAGGCGTGGCATCTTGTTGGCCAAAGCTGAAAAGCCAGCTTTTGACGGGTACTGTAATAGGGGTGGAAAGTGTTACTAAATTAAATACGTGAAAAGGCTCCGAAATAAGCTGGACGAGTTAATTATATGCTGCCTTCTCAGCCATTTTATATTTTTCTTTATTCGGGTACTAAATATGTTTGTTTTATTAAACAACATTTGCTCTCTAGCAGGTTAGTGATAAGAAACGTTACGATAAACCTTTTAAGGGTAGAACATCTAC